TGTCTCTAGTCAAGCGAATGGGATCTCGGGCCCCAATCCTGAAAGGTGGACCGCACAAATAGCACTCAAACTCCGTGTAATCTCCTTCATGCCCTTCTGCCAAGTCATACATTTTCTAGCTCCCAGTTTTCGCCGTCCTGAAGTAAACACGAAGAACAGTAGGGTAGCAGGTGCGCACAAGTGAATGCTATTATATTAGACATCTGAAAACAATAGGTAGTTCCAACAATTTGATACGAATGTTACTGGGTGGGACAGTCGCTGATTATGCTTACTGGGCCTTGAAAGTACGTTCGTCCTGGATTCCCTTCCAACTCGAAAACCCAGCCATTTTATAAGAGCGCAGCTCCAGAGGTCAGACCTTCAGTGTGCCCTTCGACACCAAGTACCCGTTCTTTGCGAACGACTGTCGGTGCTCACTCATCACGAAATAATAAATTGGCGACACTAGTGCCATATCTGTTTTCAAACACCTGCAATCAAGTGAAACGCTGCACCAGATGGTTTTAGAAGTCTTCAGGTCTTAACGTCGTTAAGCTCGGTGTTTCAGAACTCCTCTCATTAGGGGACAGCCACGCAAAAACTAAAAAAGAGCAGTCAAAAGAAAAAGTGGCGTGCCAACGGACGCAAATTAATCGCACTTTGAAGCGACCTAGGGTTAGTTTCAACGTCCTGTGTGGTAAATTCACATGAAAAACACCATTTCTTACCAAGCAACCAGCGCTTCCAGTAATACTGCGTCTTCAAAAAAGACAAGCCATAAGCCAACACAAAACATCCACTGACAGTCGACCCCTATGGCCGGCTAGTTAGCTGATTAGTGAGCAAGAAATAATACGGTTTAATCCACTTGGAGTTCACCACTTGCTGCCAGGCACCAGCAGGCACAGTATAAGACGTTTATTCTCGTGGAGTCAGGAAGAATAATGTAAGAACCAGCTGCGATCCTAAGCTTACTTTGTGGAGAAGCACTGCATCTGTCGTACCGACTGCATTACATGAACAGGCTTGGTGCAACCAAGTAGATCAAGCTGTTGAGTATGAAACAGCAGCGAAGTTTCTGGAACAAAACTTGCTTGTTGCCTTATAGGTCGAGCTTTCAAGCGCCTAAACTCAGCCTCAGAAACTGGCATCATCAACCTTCAGTCTCCTGTTTATTCATCTAAGTGGGCGAGATGGCCCAAGTGGTTAGAGCGCGAATTTACTGACCGGAGGGTCCGTGGTTCGAATCCGACCTCCGCCACTCGCTTCCCCTGTCTAGGCTTGGGCAACCTGGCAGTATCCCAGCCCTCGTGCTTCCTTCGGGGAGCATGGCAGCTAGGCACCGGAAGGGTGCTACAGCTGAACGCTTTCTTTCATCTAAGTGGAACTGGGGGCAAGATGCCTCAGTGGTTAGAGCGCGAATTCACTGACCGGAAAGTCCGTGGTTCGAGATCGACTTCTGACTCTCGACTTCCCCTGTCTAGGCTTGAGCAATCTGGCAGTATCCCAGTCCTCGTGCTTCCTACTGTTGACATGGTAGTTAAGCATTGAAAGCGTGTTGCAGCTGAGCGAAATTAAACTGTGGCATCTGGACCCCTTTCCATGGATGATTACGCGTAATTCAGCCCCGTCTCAATTCGCCATTCCATTAATTTGACATTTAACGGTGAACATAAAGCCTCGTAAATTCGCCACTCAGTTAATTTGTGGACATTTTGTGAATTGCATTGGTCTTTGTCATGTAAGTTAAGCTACGTAGATCAGTTCGTTAAGCGCCGAATCCAAGTATCCAGAAAAATGACCTGATTTGCGATATCGCATAACGTGCTACTTTTCATTTTACGTGTCATCACATGACTAGATGAAAGGACACCGTACTGCTGCCCACTTTAAACGGCAATTGGATGGACGTCTCATAATGACTACTGCTGGTTGACTGTAGCTGCGTGATTACATGCCGGCACGAATCATGCCAAATTTGGACAGCGATTTGTACATGGTATTTACTGTCGTCCTGACGTTATATTGGCATGAACCTGAAGAATATTCACCGCAAGGGGTAACAGCGCCACTTACAATTCCATCTAAATAAAACCGTCAGCGCTGAAAAAACCGGAAGCTGATGGTTGGACAAACAATGGTAACCAGGAAGTTCATATTTTGCGGAGAAATCTGAATAATTGGATACACGAAAACGGAAGTGTTTTTTCAGTTTTAGAGGCTGCAATATTTGCGTTGCAGAGAGAACCGATTCACACCTGAATCAGCGACCAGTTACCGAGTTCCCAGTTCTGCGTACTAGTGTGATGCGATAAGTCCTTACAGTCAAGACATCAGTGTTGATACTTGCAGCTGAATTTTCAATCCCTCGTGGTAATCGGTGTTATGGTGATTGTGCGGTTTTGGTTATTTTCTTATGTCAAACCACAGTCTCACACGTATAAATGTCGATGGTAGTTCATCTCCTGACTGTCACTTATCGTTTACCGGTTAAAGCACTGTGAACCACAGGCTAAAATGTTGTCCCAAACCCCACAGTGCAGCGTCCTACAAGCTGCCTTCCCCGAGGACATACATCGTCTACGGAAGGAGACAACCACAGCTGCATACTATGCCGAAACCCTGTTCATGACACTTCCGAGTAAGCATAAAACCGTTGGGTTCAAGATCAGTCGCTTCCTGGTCCGGGAGACTGCATCTCGTTGGACTCAATGCATAGTTCGGCCAATTCGATCGAGGTCTTTTTGCAGACAGTGGTGTTATAGAACCGGGAGGTTTAAGGAAACTGGAGGAGGACACAGTCGAGAATGTATACAAACTATTTCGGTCAATCCGTACAACCAGACCCTGAAGACCAATTTTGGTGAGTTAGTCAAGCATCACGTTGGAAGTATGTTGTAATAAAATCCATGGATTAGGCCGAGGGTCGGAATATGTCCAACAGTTTAATTGGTCCTATAGACCTGAATTTGAAGAGTCGATTCGCTATAGTCTTGAAACACCACAGGACCGTCGACCCAAATGAGAGTGCACTGGCACTGGTCAAAGGTGACAACACTGTGCGTCATTCTGAACTTGTCCCATGTCAAAAGCACGATCAATGCACCCCTTGCCATACTTGCCGCATTGGGTTGCATCGATCTTAATTGCGACTAGTTACTGGAATCCAGTCCAGTAACGTGCTTTCAGCCCTGGGGCTGAGTGGAAATCCCACAATACAGGTACCACGATCAACTGCATGAGAATCAACAGTTTCTCATTGTCACACGACTCAAAGGAAGCACAAAGGTTGAGATATCGCCCAATTATATGCGGGAGCAGTCGAGATATAGTCTGGATCCGAACCACGGACTTTTTGGATCACGACTACTAGGAGTTGTTCTTCTTTGACTTCCTGGGGATAATTAAGCCTTGTGGAACGAAACTCAGTAGGATCATTACAGTATTCAAACCCGACCACTACAAGATGACGGCTTTTATTCTGGAATCAGATCAGCTTCACTCCAGCCATAACAAGACTCTCGGCAGCTCGTCCTTCGTCGTGACCTGGGAAGCTGAGTAGAGAGCAGCAAACGGGATTTTAGTCTGGTAGGGATCAAACTGACTCCTTTACATTCCCTTAGTCGCTAGAGCAACGCCGCGCACCAAAGATTCACACTTTTAATTCTCTTTGATTTGCAGGGGGCGTTCGACTCACCCCTCTGATCTGTTTCCTTTGACGCACCTGCGCAACCGGGAAGTTTGCAATACGCTACGTTGTTTGTATCTTGACTTGCGGGCGGGTTAGGGCATGCGGCGGACTCCCCAAAGTTTTTTATACAAAAAATGGGGCCCGACAAGGAGTCCTACTATGTATTCATATTCAGCTTCGCAGTCGACGAATGGTACCAACGCTATATCTGGTTGGTGTTCAAAGAATCGCTAACGAAAACCTTGTCGATCTGGAATATGCACACGACATGGAACGTGTCCTTGGGTTAACTGACCAGTCATTCAACTCTTCAACACTCGTGTAAGACCATGCCTCTGGGCATGCAGCCACTGAGCACGCTTTACTCGGTGTTGTGGAGCGTCCTCGGGGGTCATATATTCCTGATTTAATGTGATTGGGACCAACGCACAAATCCCCAAAGTTCGGGTCGCGTTCAGGAACAACGGCTAGGCTCCGTACCCCAGTGGTGTAGAAAAATTACGGCACACAAGCAGGGACGCAGCGTCATTTTACGAGACGAATCATACTGAAATCAGGGGGCTGAGGATTGTTCGACGGCCAGATGAAAGAAAGCGTTCAGCTGTAGGACCCTTCCGTTGCCCAGCTGCCATGCCACGCGAAGGAAGCACAAGGGCTGAGATACTGCCAGGTTGCCCAAGCCTAGACAGGGGAAGTCGAGAGGCGGAGGTAGGATTCGAACCACGGACCTTCCGGTCAGTAAATTCGCGCTCTAACCACTTAGGCCATCTCTCCCCAGATGGGGCAAATATCTACGGAAAATTACGCCCAGAGGGACGTTAGTTTAGCTCTTGTCCGAAACAGCCAAGCGAGAGCACCTCAAATTTATGCAGCTATTTTCTTGGGAGAAAAAGTGGATGCAACATCATTTCGTCCATTCATGAAAATTGGTCTATTAACCACCAACTTGCAACTCTATGGCCGTAAGTAACCTGTTTCAGGTGCTTGCATGTATCTCATTCCCTTGCAATATTGCGCCCGATTTGTCTTCTGCTTATAGAGCTAAAATTCACTTGAAATGAACCAAGTTTCTCTGTCCATATCAACTCTCATTTTTCCGTTTATTGACGCCACGTAGTTTTGGCTCCAAACCATGCAGTTCGCGCGTCTTTTTATCCGACATGGTGGCTTTGACCACTGTCCTACACTACAGTTATGCTTTTGAATTTCTGGTCTAGCCAGCCGATGAAGAGGACACATTGAATACTCACCTCAGTTGGTCAATTATCAGCAGGGACAGATAGAAACAAAATCACCTCAAAAATTCCACTGCACCGCCGGAACTCACTTCTCGCAAAATGGCATTACCGTCATTAGTCATTACTATGCCTCCCATAGGATCCATTAGCATCTTCAACATGGCGCGCGGACCCAGGCACGTGCGTATCACATCCGCCACGGTTTTCCCAGCCTCAATGTTGGCTAATTGAACGGACTTCCCCTTCTCACCACGTGCATTGCGATCTGTTCAGGTAAATTGACAAAAGAAGCATGAAACTCACTCAAAACTAGGACAGGCGCACCGCCCACCATGCTTGACCGATGAGGTTTTGAACTGCGCTCCGAATCTCTGAGGGAGAATTAGCTGGGAATAAGCGTGACCAAACGAAACTCTGTTTTCGACAACTTACCTGACATCTCATGTAGCATCTCCCAGGAAGATTCTGCATTGTCGCACGTCACCACACCCTACTGTGAACTTTCCCTCCGCCATAGCGATCTTGGATCTAGGCCGCCGTGACAGTCCAGTGTGGCAAAAATAGCTACAGACTTTATCTTTCATGGATTCACACAGGTTCACGGATCGATACAGAGGATCGAGGCTTTCGCTCAAGTTTTGGGGGTCGGTATTTCTCTTGTCGTTCACCTGAACATTACATGTGTAAAAAGGATGTAGCAGTGCTCCTTATGTTCTCAGTGCGAGGACTCCCACAAAGTGCCTAATAGTGCTTTGAGCAGGGTTCTAGAAGGAGCGTGGACAATCATCGGAGGAAGATTATTCCAGGCAGCTGCTGCCCGAAATGGGAAAAGATTTTACCTAATAAATGTGTGTACACTGAGCTTGAAAATCTTATCATGTCCCCACCGTGTGTTTGCTGGGTCAACGGTGAAAAAAACTTTTTGCAAAGCTTCGCTCGGACAGGGCATAAGTAAGAATTAGGTCCCCTCAGAGGTGATGATACTCCAGGGGAAAGAGGTCGAACACCACGAGACGCGTTTCGTAGTCTACGGTTTTGAGGCCGGTAACCATCTTCGTAGCGACTCGCTGGACACGATCGATGGGGTGACGCCTTTCATGTGTCTTGATTAGACAACTGGTTGGCGTATTCAAGGAGCGGCCTGATGTAAGCCCAATACAGTATTTGTAAATGCATGCGAGTGATGCTGAAGAAAGAGGGCCGATTCATCCGTAGAATAGCAAATGCCTTTTGGGCAGATTCCTCTTGGTGCAATGAGAAGGACAAGTTTGAGGGGAGCCAGATACCCAATCCTATCCCAAGGATATTTTCTGGTCCTTTCCTGCCCTGCATGATAAAGGCATTGGCTGAGTCCTTTCCAAGTGACGTATGCACGCACTCTTCGTCATTCAGAGGAAGGTGCCAGTCTAATGACCCCTGCTTTGCAGCGTCTGCATCCATTTGGGGGGCACTGGCATTTGAACTCCAGGATTTTGAGTCGTCTACAAAAGTAGACCTGGACTTGCAAGAATTGTTGGAAGGTCGTTGACTAGGTCAGAAGTAGCACCGGTCCGAAATTGGAGCCTTGAGGAATTCCTACATTGCGCTTATTCGAGGAACTATAGGCAAGTGCGCCCATGCGTTCGAGTAAGTCGCGTCCCACGTCTAACTGTTCGGTAGTTTCAAGTATAAAAAACGGAAGGGAGTTTAACATCCTCAAAAGCCTATGATTAGAATAATGAGTGCCGAAATTCTGCTGAATGTGGTTCAAGCGGACGTCATGGGACAGTCGTCTAGGAAACTGTGCGTAATTCTACTGCGAGCCTCATGATTGCTGTGTCAACACCACACAAAGGTTCTAAAGAAGGACTGTAAAATCCAGTCGTTTTGTGTTTAAGAACATTCCGAAAAGAGGGACAGGATATGGTCACTCTGAAAGGGTCTAGTCCGAGGGGACAGAAGGAGGGTGCAACTAGGGCTGCTGAGGACTTGAACTGTGTTTTCCAAATAGCAAGTCGATCCTTCAGCGGATCGTATCTTTTCTTATGAGACCCTGGCCCAGAAGAGATTAAAAGGCACAAAAGTGCAGCTTTAGGACATCTTGAGGGGCTAACTCAGGTTACCAAGTGGTTCAACGGGTTCCGAGAATCCAGCCTTTCTGATTTCATGGTGACGAAAAGCGTAAGAACTTTCAGTAAAAAATGGGTGAACTAATGCTTCTTGCAAAATAGGACTTTCCAGACACACACGTCTTCAAGGAGGTCCAAACTATTGGATTTTCGTACGGGTCGAAAAATTGTTCGGAGGACAAAACTGCCGCGAAAGCGTGTGGGTGTTTTCATTTGTTTGAGTTGGAACGCAGAGAATGTAGATGGAAAATAAAAATAGCTTATCTTTCGAATCCAACAACAAGGATAAGCAGTCCTATTGGCTTCGATAGATGGGAACTCGAGCTTCGGAGGCAGGTCAAGGCTAGAACAAAACCCAAGATTGCATAATGGTCAAGGTGCACGACGCATATTGGATTTCAGTGTTTCTACTATTGGTTGGAACACTGGTTGCGATCGAAATCGTCTAGGTTTGACGATTGTGCGGTACTAGAAGCGGTGAAAACACGCAACCTTATTCGAGGCCCACTCTGCTTCGGGACACACGGGTATGACCTGTGTGAGCAGTCCTGGTGCGCAGGTAGATGGATCTGCCGAGGTCCCAGTACACGGTTTTGCTGGCTCCGCAGGACTTTTTAGATCGTGCGTGTTATCTTGTCCCTCTGAGTGTAGCCTCAGGTCTAACAAATGCAACAGTAACACCAACAGCTGCAGTGATACACTATTTTGGTAGGTCTGCGCATAACCAGATTCATAGCAAAAAGATTCTTAATGCTCTGGATCTGATCGTTACGATCATCGTGTGGAAGTGCCGGATTCCTCCTTCCTCAAGACAGCAAATATGTAGTGATCAAAATATCCTCTGTTTTGGCTTTAATTAGTCATATCTTGCGAAAGTGCGCTCAGGCACATGCGCAAGTCGACTTGATCTTCGCCCCAAGGTACACTTTACAGTTTATTGAGCACGCTGTGTATGGTGTATACCATATAAGACGCGTCGTCGTCTCTGGCTAACTGACACTCAAGCCCTCTTCCACCTGAGATACTGCACATCATTTTCCTTCCTTTTTGTACACAGCTTTTTCCATGTCTGAGCACTTTATTCACTGTTTCTGGCCGTGGATAAGATTTGTTGAATAAGGCACCATGGAAACATTCCTCTTCATCTTCAAACGTTTGGTTTTACTAACCAGCACTCGCCCCTCCATCTAATTTTGGTTGGCTAAATTTGATTACCTGGTGAAATCGTGCACTTCCGGGTTTCTGAACGTTATCTTCTCTGTAGTCCTGTTGTAAACATGCCCAATTACCAAATGCAGGCACGTTTTTGCAGCCTTTCTGGAAACTGAGCGGTGTTCTGTTCTGTTATACAAGATGACTACGTCCTGATTAGTTTGGGATGATAATTGCTGCGAGCTCAGTGGGCCACCGCAGCTCCAGATAAATTGATTTCATGTCTGAGGGAGCTTGCAAGGCGAAAAATAAAATTCCATCGCTGTTTGACGTTTTCTCCGCACAGTAAACGAAACTACAATGAAACATTAACGTGCCTTGAGGGCCAGTAGAAGCGTGACCAGTATCTGATTGATTTTTCAATTACAAACACACCCGTCGATAGAGATTCTATTTCAATGATCAACTAAACTTACCAAGCATAGGAGAAATCTAATCAATTTTTCAAAAACACAGCGGAACCGCCAATAATGACCCACTGGAATTTTCTGTTGGTTGTCAGGTACAAGAGGCATAGATAATTGCGGTGCTGAAAACGGCGGGTAAAGTTGTATCTACAACAGCTGAATATTAGGTCCTGGATCAAGTTAACTAAAAAGGCAGCAGGGAAGTAACAGTTCCAGAAAAGCATTTAGCAAGAAGGAAGAAAAGAGGGCTTTTTTCGTCAGCTGGGGACGGAACTCTTGTTTGACCGGGAATAGTGTACGTTAGTTAAGAGTGAGTCCTTAAGAGGCATTTTGGTGATTGACGATTGTTCAACTCGTGGTCAGCGGTTAAAGTGACAAATATTATTAAGTCTCGCTTACCCTATACATTGGCAGCCATTCCTCCTTTGTCGCATCAATTGAGCCATAATTAACCAAACCAGTGGTAGCAATTGGATGCCTACAGATTGTTGCTGCTGTGGTGTTAAAACCGTATCCTTCGCAGGACTTCACTTGTTTGCATGATTTTGAAAATCCATGGCGGACAAGGCGTACAAGTACGATTACATAGAGCCCCACTAGATCGTCAAGGGGTTTTGCAAATGTTTCAACCTTTAAAGCCCAATTAAATTCTTGATTAATGAATCGTCAGGATTCAGTAAACGCACGAATCATGTTGTGAAATTCAAACAATTCAAGTGAGTCCCCCTGGAGATCAAAGTTCAATGACTGAAAATCCACGTAACCCTTGATGAGACGGCCAAAATATAAGTAGCGCCACTGTAAACACCTAACTGTCTAAAAATGTACATTCGGACCGAACGCTTTTGATTTGTGCACTTATCATTTAAGCTGCAAAGTGCGTGTTACTGTACTAGCCTACATATCCTTTTTGTAGATTCCAAATCCCCCAAACAATCTCCCCTGAGGTTGTCTGCGCTTTTTGGTAACTCCCGCAAGTGAGTGTTTCCGCCCAGTAATGTTGCTAGTAGTGTGGCGAGGCACGAAAAACAGTGAGCTAATATTCGGAAATTTCGCCCTTGTTTTTTGAAGGTGTAAATCCATGTTTCCGTCTGGCCAAAAAAGCTGTCTGAGGACTGTCGACGTTAATTACCACAAAAAACGTGAGCCAGCCTACGAACCTTGCTTGGTATTCATGATGCGCATGGCGCCTACCCATTATCAGTTCAGATCTATAATAATATTACTGTTTATTCCCAGGTGGCGTGATTATGACGGTACAGTAAAATTGCGCGACTGATAATAGTCGTGGGTTCTCAAGAGTGCGCGGAAGCGGGATAGCCACAAAATTGAGCACTATTCGATGTAGGTGAGGTTATGCCTAAAATGGCGTGATTTAAACGCGCTGGAAATCGAAGCGGCTATTGAGGCTTTCCCATCTTCCAGGGAACGCGTCAAATTTGAGCGGGAGTAAACCGTTACATTTTGAAGGTGGTGGACAAGAGCAGAGTTGGGAGGCAAAATCAATTGTTCCTGCCCGGCGCATGATAAGAAAACTTGAATTTACGGAAAGTAATGAAAAAGAACAACGAATCTAGATAACCAGAAGCAGCTAATTTGGGCTAAAATTGGGAAAGACTGCTCGGGCAGCGTGGCCTCGCACAA